GGTCTGTCTGGGGAGTTAAATATCATCTCCTCCTTCCCTGTTTCTCTTATAACTTGCTGCCTCCGTTTGGCTGATTCAGTTCTTTAAAGAGTATTTTGTTGGAGCAGGTGAGGGATGTATGTATCTCATTACAATGACTTAACCACATACACACACCGCTCTGTTTTCAGATTGGTCAATCGCTCTAGATGAGAAATGTCAGCTTTTCTTGCAAGTAAAATTGCAAGACCACATAAATAGACGTTAAATGACAGATCTAATTTGTGTGCATCCATTTTAAAACAAAGGAAAAAGATCAACAACAGTCTTACAAAAAGAGGCTGTTTGTTTCTGGCAAATCATCAGTGGCACAAGTTATTTTGGGGTGCTGGCTCCCCAGTTGTCGCATAGCGGGCTGTTTTAGGTTCTTGTAAAAAGTATAAATGAAGGGAAAAAATGTCAGGCAGAGATAGAGGGAGACAAAGAGGGAAAGGAAGAGGGCTCGGTCATTAGGAGTCAGCCTCTATGCCCGTAAATAAAGCTTGTTCATTAGTACAGCTTTATTTACACAAAGGCATACCTAAAGATTGTAAATTACCATACGTCTCACAAGAGTGCTAGAGAGTATTGCATTCTGGAGGCTATTATGCCCATTCTGAAAGCCTTCGGGGGGCCAGAAACCTCTGATAATGATGTAACAATACGTCTTCATTCAACAAGCAGCAATTTATTCTCATCTATAATTAACTATAATACTTCCCCCCGCCAGAGTAGTTAAAAACTCGATAACAAAACGCCTGCACAACCAGAGACAGGCACCTCACACACATTCTTCACACATGCATGAAGATACACGGGCTGTGTGCATTCCTGCCATGCTTTTACACGCACACGCTGAGTGCGTGAACTGTAGACGCAGACACGTGTGGCTGTGCGTTCCAAGGACGTTTTCTTCTGCAATCTCAGTGTTTTGAAAAAAAGATTAATGTTGCATTGCTTCTGTTCGTCCTGGTTCAGTGTAATTGTCGGTGCTGTGTTGCCCGGCTCTGTGGAGACGCAGGCGGCCGAAAGTGACTGGATGGATTGTGTGTGAAATGTGGGTCAGCAATGTGCTGCAGTTCTGTGCTTTAAAACATACATCACCATGCCGAAGGCAAAGAGTTACCACAACTAAAATCCCCTTCTGTAATCAGTAGAGCTAATAGTTATTAAGTCCTGTGCTTCTGTTTCGCTGAGGAGTTGATTGGGAATGGAGGATATTTGATGTCAATTTTGTGCATCATTCCACCAGCCTTTTTGCTGGAATCTTCTCTTTGTACCACAAGCAATAAAAAAACTCGCTGTATTAAAATTCTTCATGGGATCTGCACTGAGCCTGATGTCTTAAGAGATAGACTGTGCTGCAGATAGAATTAACTTTGGCTGCAGCTTCAGCTAGCAGAGAAACAGGGAAAGCTCAGTTGCTTTCAGGGGAAAAAAGATCTTATGTGTTTTGAAGATGAGTCACGATGTCCTTAAAAAACCCTGTAAAAGTACAAAATCTGTCTTTGTTACAGCTTTGTTATATTTCTCTCCCGGATAGTGAAAAAGTACAGCAGTACGGCAAAAACTCATGTTTGTGGTGCCTTGTGCACAGGTGGAAACATTGATGATTGTGGTACAGTGGGTATTCCGCCAGGCACCTCAAAGGCTGGCTTAGAGGTCCCGTGGCTGTGCCCCCCAAAATAATTATTATGTACATCTCAGCTTGATCATTTGTTTTCATTTTCTCCGACAACATTTTGAAGCTTTGTTTTCTGTTTTTTGCAAATACACAAATATTGCTCTCTTGAAACGAGCGCATTGTAAGGCGCATCACACTCTAACTTTCATTTCTCCCCTCTTGTGATGTCAGTGTAGAGGGACGACAGTCAAGGGGCTGGAGAGACAGAAGAATGCCAGATCGATCTTTTCCTGGCTAGACTCGAGAAAACCTTTGAGCAAAGAACCTTATGTTTGGCAGTGTTAAGTCACTAGTACTGCAACAGATAGAGTTTTTCTGTTTCTGTTTCTGTTTTTTTGAGGCTGACTCGAACCAGTACATAGTCTTCCGTGTTTATTTTCCAGATTCCTACCTTCTTTTCAAGAGTCATGAGCAGCCACAGAGTCTTCACTCCATGGCTCAACATTTGTTGCCCTTTAAGTTTTAGGATGATTTGTTGTTATGATTAGCTGTCATCGTTTTGAACTTTGTGCGTGACACTACGTACACCTCCGTTCTGTCAAGAACACAATTTGTCCAATTTGTCTCATTTAATGGCTGGTGAAAGTAAAAATATATTGCGCTCCAGGTGTTAAGTTGAGGTGAAATTGTGATGTCATGAGATTTAAAAATAAACCCTGAAAATAAAGAGCTCTTACCATAGTCTGCTGACAATTGCTGATTTAAGCAGGTTTAAAAGCGCGATAAATTCCTTTGAAAACTTGTGTGAAACTTGGATTCATTGTACAGCTTTTCCCATTTTTCTTTCCCAGGCCTGGGTGATCCCTGTAGTTCAGTTTGTAAACGTCTGTCCAGTGATTGCTGACACAGCCCTATGTCTTGAGAAGTGTGGCCCTGATCTTGGGTAATATCAGTCCCTAAAGTGCACGGAAGGCGTGTATTTCGGGTTGTCAGCAGTCACTTTGCTCGTTATTGGTGCTATTGGTACAAAAGCTGCAGGACTCGCTGCTGAAGCCCAAGTTAAACGGGCTCTGACATTAATGATCAGCATCACCTGCAAACTCTGCTTGAGGGAGCGATGTGGCAGAGCGCTCAGCGGCTGTGACACAAAGTGAAAAGCAGCTTCCTTGTTTCAGAACGAGCAGACTTTTAAGCCCTTTTAAACCGGAAAACAGAATCAGCGCGTGGTACATTTTTAAAAGTAAATGCCGAAAATGAAGAAGTACGAAATGTAGTCTGGAGGCATCTGCTGATATGATCATGGTGTTTTTTAGAGTAATGGAAATTAATTTAAAGACTTCTATGGAATATGGATTAATTCGGTGAGCGGTGTGGACTCTGGGGTGCAGTGAGGAAGACCTGGTAGGATTTGTGTGTGTAGGATGTGGCATCATTGGTTAATAATAATGATTGCTTACACTTATATAGCACTTTTCAGGGCACTCCACTCAAAAAGCTTTACAGGTAATGGGGATCCTCTCCACCACCACCAGTGTGCAGCCCCACCTGGATGAATCGACAGCAGCCATAGTGCGCCAGAACACTCCCCACACATCAGATGTTAGTGGCGAGGAGAACAGAGTATAGGATAGGTGAGATAATGTCCTTTTTAATGTTTTTTTAGAAGTAATGCTGTCACTCTTGGCTGCAAATCATGGGATAGGGTTCAGTGCTCATTGTGACATGTGCTCTGTAACTAAGGTCCATAATCTTTATAACTGCCCCACACTGTGAGGGCCTCCCCCTCTCATCCGGGGCCAGCAGGGGGCGCTCACCCTGCGGTCCATGTGGGTCCTAATGCCCCAGTATAGTGATGGGGACACTGTACTCTAAAACAGGCGCCGTCCTTCGGATGAGAAGTAAAACCGAGGTCCTGACTCTCTGTGGTCATTAAAAATCCCAGGGCGTTTCTCGAAAAGAGTAGGGGTGTAACCCCGGCGTCCTGGCCAAATTTCCCATTGGCCCTTACCAATCATGGCCTCCTAATAATCCCCCTCTATGAATTGGCTACATCACTCTGCTCTCCTCCCCACTGATAGCTGGTGTGTGGTGAGCGTTCTGACGCACTATGGCTGCCGTCACATCATCCAGGTGGGGCTGCACACTGGTGGGGGTGGAGGGGAGACCCCATTACCTGTAAAGCGCTTTGAGTGGAGTGTCCAGAAAAGCGCTATATAAGTGTAAGCAATTATTATTATTATTATTATTATTATTATTATTATAATAATTATTATTATAATTATTATCCTTAATTAAAAGAGACATGCTTGCTTCTGGGTCTCTGCAGTTGGGACCAGGATGTTCTCATCCTGAATGAGCCCTCTGAAAGGGAGCCAAGAGCTCTGCACAGAGATATTTTAATGGTCTTGTTTTCTGTTCTGATATGAGTAAGCTGGGTATTTTAATTGCAGCTTGTATGTCGTTTCCTGCACCGAAGAACATTAATTTTGTTCTCTTCTTCAGATATTTTGAAAGAAGAAATCAATCAACTGTGTTGAACATGAGCTGCCGGCTTGATGGTAGTTAACGTCCAACCTTAAAATGCGCCATAGGACTATATTTCAGGATGTCAGAAGTCACTTTTCTTGTTATCAGCAATTGGTGTTGAAAACAATGTGTAGAATGAAGGGAAAAGTACAGGCTGGGCAACTCATCTTGCAATTACCATGTGTGAAAGAGGCACCTCCTTGACAGTCTGCAGCATGTTTAAGGAAGGGAGGAAGGGTGACAGTATTCAGAAATCCTGTTAAACTGCTCTCAGTTCCACCTTCCCAGCAGTCACTGTGTCCATCTCGAGAAGCGCTTCACACTCCTGCTGCCTTCTTTTAATCCAATTTGACCTGATGTCTAAGTGGATGAGACAGACTCAATTGCAAAAATATGAATACCTATAAATCACTGAGAACTTGAGCTTCAGCACTTGACAAAAGTACCCATACAACGTGAGCTCTGAAAACAAATGAGGAAACTGTGAGGAATGTAAATTTTATGTTTCACTGTATAATATAGAGTATATGAATGTTTTGCATGCTGGTGGATTAGCTCATTGTGTCTGAGATGATATTCTTAATTATGGTAGTGGAGCCCAGCGATGTGAGAGCCCATTGGTGTGTCCTGACCTTGTCTACGAGGCATGTTCCTCATGATTCACTGCTACAGTTTTCACAGAAGCGGGATCTGTGTTTAAACAGACCAACCAACAGATCCGGGATCCTTTAGCATGGCAAGTGGCAGTGCCAGCAATATGGTACAGGCTCAGAGTGCGGAGATGCAAACTCTCACAGCTAAAGCCCGTTTTTGTTTTTCAATTGTCTTGCAGATAAGGGAAGGCTTCATCTCCTGTCACTGCTTGGAGAAGGACCATTTCCCTGCCGGCCCAGGAAAATCCCATCAGTATGTACCAGACCAACCTCATTTGTGCCGTTGCACACTTTCAGAGGCCCCTGCTCTGAGGCCCCATGTTTTTTTTTTCATTCATAACTGGCTCAGGAAAGTCAGTTGTAAAAACGTGCATCAGTACTCAAGCTTGGCGTTTTCTATACCCCCACATCCACCTCCTGTTCACGTTAGCTGTAGCATGATGAGCGCGTGGTCGAGAGCAGACAGAGAGGAAAGACAAGACACTCCAGTTCCATCCGATCAAGCTCCACCATCAGGAAATATAATGTAATATAATAATGTTTCTTTATTAGCCCTATACAATTTCTTGCATTAGGAATTCGTCTTTTTGCATACCCCAGCTTTTCTCCATGGAGAAGCTTGGGGTCAGAGCGCAGGGTCAGCCATTGTACGGCGCCCCTGGAGCAGTTGGGGTTAAGGGCCTTGCTCAGGGGCCCAACGGAGTAGGATTCCTCTGCCGGCCACGGGATTTGAACCGGCAACCTTCCAGCCACAGGCGCAGATCCTGAGCCACAGAGCCACCGTATGAAGTGCGGATTGAAAAGGAGCGTGAACCACCAGCCCTCCTGTAGCAAAACCGCTTCTGTTGTTGGCATAAAGCAGCAAGTTAACATACAGTGAGCCATAAGAAAGTGCAGTGATTGAACAGTGCAGCTCCACTCCAGTTATACACAAATATGTGCAATATATTACCTTTGTAGATACACCGCGTTGGATGCTTAAATTCTTTGCGTAATTGTAAATACAGAACACGCACAGCTGAAGAGCATTTTAAAGGAACCCTGTAGACTGTATCGTACTGATCTGTGACCAGAAGATGCCCTGGGGAAAGCAATAATTTCATTGGCAGGGGCTGTGCTGCCATAGGTCACGTGTGTGAGTTCGGGAAAGAACGGGACTTTTCCAAGTCTTGGAGAGGAAGGGCGGCGCTCCTGGCAGGTGTTCCTGTAATGCTTCGGAGAACTATGAATCCGGGCAGTGTGTGGCAGACAGTCATATTAGACAGTCTTTAATAGAAAGACCAGGGTGGGAGTCAGTTTGGCAGAGAGAAGCATGGGGTTACACTGTTGTGTGGTTGGATCCAGAGAAGGTCAATTCAGGGTGTGCAGCTAAAGCTACACAGCACTGCGTTCTCTCTTCTGCACTCCCTGCCCTACAAATGCACATTACTATAACAGAGGTCTGAGAGCTGTAGTGCTCTTTGTTGTACTGTAATAATTAGTGGGATGACACTTTGTGACTTGGTTTCACGAAGAAATTAGGGTTGTTGATGTGGATTAAAGAGTCGGTGTGGTGTGGGTTGTTCCAGTGCTTTGTTTGAAGTAACACTGTGTATTGTCCCAAGAAATTAGCAAAAGCTCTTTGTCAGCAAGCAGCTAGAGTGGAAATTGGGTCATCTGCAATACGATCCTCAACATTAATAGGTAATACTTGCCAATGAAGTCTTCATCGAGAAAAAAAGAGCTCAAGCCATTACATTATGTCTGCAGAATCTCCCTGGATCTTGCGGTGATTAATATGCAGCTCCAGAGCACTAATAGATCCCAGCTGGTCTGATTATTACAGAACAAACAATAAATGTAAATAATTATGCTTTTGATTTAACTTGTTCAAAACACAGAAAACATTACCAGACAGGAACACGCTGCAGAGCCACTGTAAAGAGCCTCAAGAGAGCCTGTTTTAGAATTAATTTCAGCCTGTCTGGTAAGGCTGAGCACACTGTGTCAGCTTGTGCTTTCAGACAGCAGGCCTGTGATGCACCTAGGGCAAGACCAGCCCTGCCAGGTCTGGGGAGTCCAGTAGTAGAGGAAGCAGCTTTGTCGGTTTAGGGCAGTCGTTAGGTCTCTGATTCCTATCCAGGGGGTTGTGGGAGTGGGATGCTGTTGTAACTTTAAGTAAGGTATTTTGCTCAAATGCCCTGCTGTAGAAACAAAAACCCCCCAGGTCATCATTATAAATGTAAATTTGAACTCGGTTGATTTTTCTGGTTAAAAGCCTCACTGCTTTGTGGGGATTGATACAGTAACAGTTCTGGGAGAAATGTCTATTGTTAGGATGTATTCTGGGCAGGAGCGCACTGGTCTTGCATCTTGCTGACAGAAAACAAGAACCAAAGCAGGTCATTTGAAGTTAAAAATCATCAACATATGTATCATTGAAGTAATTTGCTTTAAGGTCATATGGCGTCATTTAGCTCATCTTGTTCTCCATGTTCCTGGGCTGAATTCTGAGGGTAGCAGAAGTGGTCTTTGTAGGTGCTCTTCAAATAGCTGTTGCCCAACTTTCAAACATCACTTGGGTTCTGAGATGATACATGTGGCTCTGGGACCCATGTCAGATAGGGCAGCCTTTGAGAAGGAGTTATGTTTGAGAATTAAGCTGATGTCTAAAGTTTTGAAAGATGACACTAATCTGAAGATTAAAAGTGATGGACTGATTTTTCTTCTGCTCATTGTGTGTTTGTGGTTGCAGCTTGCTACTGCACTTGGCTGTGCTGGTCTGTTTTATCACACTTGTGTATCTATGCACACAGTGTCAGGGGCACGCTGTGTACCTGGAACAGAACGGGTGTTGATGGTCTTTTTTGTTTGCAACTTTTTAAAAACAGCCTTCGTTTCTTATATACTGAGGAGAAAAGTTCAGACGGCTCTCGGAAGAGGTTGGTAATGCAATTTGTAAAATAACACCAAGTGGTGGTTTGCAAACAGGCATCACCATCCTCGTCCAGCTACCATCTTGCAGAATAAGTGATAAAGCAAATAGCAAAGCCTGTGGGCTGTTTGTATTGCACATGGGCGCAGCGCCATCTCCGAGGGTGTGTGTAACATGTCTGTCTAATGGACAGTGTTGAAGAGGGACAATGAGAGCTATTGGCAGAGCAGCAAAGAGTTGTGCTGCATTGGCTTAAAAACAGTCCGTTTGCCAGGCCCATCTGTGTTTGTTTCAGCTGCTATTTGTTACATATTTAGAATCACATACATCATATATCTGTTCCCCAGCATCCCTTTCCCACAGTAATTTACACTTACTGAAGCATTGGACGAACAGACTTCATTAACTAGGGGGGCTGAGCAGGAAAATATGGCATAATTAGACAACATGTTGTAATCGCTTTGTCTTCCATCTGCTGCAGCACACACACTGTAGCGCTGCCATCAGCTCTCACACACCAGGCCAAGGCCAGTGATTAAATTGTCCTACAGGTTTCCAAAACAATTAACAAGGCCTGCTAATTGTGGCTTTTGAGAAGCAGGGATGTGAGTGGCAGTGTTCAGAGGAAAGCCCTTTAAACCCGAGTGCTGTGTGACCACTGTGCTGTTTTGCCTTGTCATTTCGGACTCCATTCGCATTAGGGGAGGGGTGTCTGTGCCAGATCTGCACTGATTTTGATCTCTTCAACCTAAATAGGTTGATGGTGGACAAGAACAAATGATGCTATAATGAACAAGTGGCATGGGTGCAGAGGGGAGAGCTGAGGGCAGATGCCAGTGCGGATCCAGACAAGACGGCCTGCAACCCAGGCTGCCGAACACGAGTCAGGACTGTCGCACCTTCTCCAGCTGAATACATACAACTGCACCATCTGCTCAGGTCACCTTCCACACGTGTTCACATTAGAACTACTGTTACGGATCAGGGCGTCCCGTTTTGGGTGCTTCTTTTAAAACGTCATAGTTCTTTCTCTTCATGCACGTTTTGGAAATATGCGCTACATTTAGTAATTCTATGCATTGTGGTCTTTTGTGCAGCTGTGCCATTTATAAATGCTCATCTATGTAGAAGGACAGGCTGTGGACTGGATTGACATACTATATATGAGTAGGAAAACATTGTACAAGAACAGATGTGTCTACTTAAATAGAAAAGGTTAGAATGCAGGATGAATGAATATATGCATACATGCAAAGAGAGAGATAGCAGGTGATGCGAAGAAAAGGTGCTTAACTTGGGTGGCAACCCATAGGTCTACTGAGAGATACACGGCGCATCAATTAAAAAGAGGCAAAGCATGTGTAATTTATTTGGCGTTTTTTAATCGCTACATAACACAGTGATTTAATTAGAGGAGTTTCTTCACATTACAGCAGAGCTCCTGAGAGACAGCAGAGGTCAGCTCCTTAGACAGAGCAGGAACAGGAGAGATGGTGTAAAACCTGATCTATCTTTCGTTCTCCTTTTCCCTCTGCCTCGCATACCAGCAATACAGCACAAAGAAGTGTACAGGAAAGGCACAGCGCAGATGATGGGCAGAGAACCAACTCCACATATCACTCTTTCAAGTCATTCTGCAACTCTGATGTTTTGTGCATCACAAACACTTCCAGCCACCCCCATCTGATCTCTAGCCCAGAAACAGTCAACACAGGCCAGAATAATAAAGCCCCCACTCTTTCCGTCTCCTCACTCTGCCATGTCTGATTGAATCAATCTGATATTAAATGCTTTTTAATCATGCGTTAGATTCAATTCAGCCCAGACTGCAGGGCGGTTCATTTTATTAGCCGTGATTAACATTATCTGAAGCACCATTTAGAGCACTTTCAGGGGTCCCATTAGAAAGAAAGAAACTTAAAAAGAGCACGCACGGAAAGTGAGGAGATAGGGAGTGCTCCAGAACGATGTTAACGGAGGTGGACTCTTCTCAGTGCTCAGCTGCCTCCCAGTGCTCACCCAGGCCAGTGTGCCCCATGCGTCACTAAACACTCCCACCCCCCCACCATGACTGGCAGCAACAGCTTTAATTTGCAAACAGCATGAGGCTGGCAATTACTTCTCAATGGGAACTGTTTTAGATTTGAATTACATCCCGCGTTCATTAGCGTGCGGGCCGTTGCTCAAGTAATTTTGAGCCTTATTTAATTGAAATTAAGCTGCTGAAACTCAGTCGTGTTTTATCAGTCATTGTGTTCATAAATGAAATGCCTCCTTGCTGAGGAGTGGTAATTCTTTTAAACAAATTAACAGCTATCCAGGCCTGCCTTCGCCAGAGC